GATCCCGGGACTCCAGGATCATGACCTGAGCCGAAGGCAGTCGCTTAACCAACTGAGCCACCCAGGCGCCCCAACTCTTCCTACTTTTTAACAGGACTCCAAAATAAGTATTTCAACATACGACCCCTGAATTTGGCGGCGTTAGTGTCAGTAAATATCGTAAATGGACATTCAATGACGGTAGGAAACATTCAGATTTATAATCTATTGAAACTAAAATCACACTAATGGATGAATGAATCAACCCATTATTGTCAGATTTATGCTTAAATTCTTGTTAGCAGCGTGTCAGCAGATGACAAGCCCTTTGTCGAACTTCCCACTGCTTTCGTGGGACCCTAGCACCTTAGGATGTCTCAACGTCTCTATTTGAACCTGGGTTCCTCCTAACACTAGGGGGAGGCCAAGAGTCTTGGGACACCCCCAACACCAGGAGAGGGAGGCAGGACCTATTGTCAAGTCACGCCTTCCCCACCTGTGACTGGCACAGACATTACCCAATGGATACTGGGATAGGGCGCGCCGACGCCCCGCCCCCTCGAGCGCCCCGCGGCCCCCGAGGCACCCTCTGGCCGTCTCTGCGGCGGCTACGGCCTGGGCAGACGGTGCACCGTGCGCAGGCGCGGAGCCTAGACCTCGCTGCAGCCCCCATAGCCTCGGGGAGTCGCACCCACGGAGTCCGCCTGCTGGCGCGTCAGTGCTCTCCCCTCGTCCACCCTCCCCGGTCCCCCCAGCGCCCTTCGCGCCCGGATGGCGGAGCTGCGGCCTAGCGGCGCCCCCGGCCCCGCCGCGCCCCCGGCCCCTGGCCCTAGTGCGCCCCCGGCCTTCGCCTCGCTCTTTCCCCCAGGACTGCACGCCATCTACGGAGAGTGCCGTCGCCTTTACCCTGACCAGCCGAACCCGCTCCAGGTTACCGCTATCGTCAAGTACTGGTACGCTCTGGGCCGCGGGAAGACGGACAGGGGCGGGCTGGGAAGCGTTAGAACCCCGGGGGCGAAGTCATTTGCGGGGGAGGAGGAGGTGGAGAAGAATGGTTAAAGCACTTGGAAGGAGGGCGTCCTGCTGCGAGGGAAGGAGTTAAGGCTGAAGTTGGGAATGGGGACAAAGGGGTTAACGGAGCCTGTGGGTAGCGAAGGGTTAACGAGGGGGGAGGATGAAGGGTTAACTGGGATTAGGAGAATAGAGTGAATTGGGGGTGTGTGTAGGAGCGGGGGGGTTGCGATAGGAGAGAGGGAACTGTAAACGTGGTGAAAGGAGGGGGCGCCTGTAGGGGGTCATTAGTGGGCGAGGGGAAGCCGGGGGCGGGGGGCGGCTGAAGTGGGATGGGGGAGGCGAGGCGGGGCTTGGGGAGCGTATGAGAGGGCTTTGGAGGAGTGCGGCTAGCAGAGCTCAGAGGGCTCGAGACTGCACAGGGTACGGGGGGATTTGAGGACCCCCGCTCTCCCGTAGGTTAGGAGGGGAGCAAGTTTCGAGAGTTGTGCCTGTGACGAGAGGAGGAGGAGGTCTCCTTTTGATACCTTCCCCATGAGCTCATACGTCAGTCATTTCGGTGCTGTGCTTTTGCGTTTGAAGTTTCACGGAGCAACTTTTCTTGATAAACTTTGTGCTTACTCGGCACAGTTCTCTTTCTCCAAGCAGAGCTTCCTCTGGCTGTGCAGCTGCTTTGCTTTAGGACATTGGCTAGAACAGAGGCAGGGTCAGGGAGATCCATGGTTTGGCTCAGGATTGAAGGGGACCACCGTAAATAATGAAGATCTGGGATTTGGACACGGAGCAAAGAAGTGCAGCGAGATGTTAAGAGGAGCTTCCTGGCCACAAACTTCAGGATTTAGGCAACAGTCTTTCAGGGAAGCTGAGAATAACCCTCAAGTAGCTCTGTTAAGGATCAGACCTGTTTACAGAAGGGCTGCCCTTGGGGTAGGAATGGTCCTTTCTTGTTTCCCATTCCTGTTTGCATCCTGTCTCTTTCTACATCCTCTGGGCAAGACAGGTGTTCGAGGGACTCTGACAAAGAGCCTGTCTTCATGGTTTTTCTGGACCAAACTGAGGAATTGGTTGAATCTGTCCAGAACTGCATTCATGTAGGCACTGTATTAGATGATCCCCTTCATTGAGTTCTGAAAGACTGTTCAGGAAGCAGCTTGGAATGTGGCCAAAGGGGCAGGTAGACCCAAAGAGGGAGATTGGTAGAGTGGATGTCTTTGCTGGTTACCTCTCCCTTTAGGACTGAATCTTCTCCAGGATAACCTCTTAAGTTCCTCCAGAGATGGCAGAAACTAGACTGTCTAGGGCTGAGGCTAGTTCCCTGTGTCAGTGGGAGGGTGTGAAGAGACTGACAGCGTGGGGGGCCTGGGGACCAGCCCCCTTCTATGGGAGGGCCATGTCTGATAGCCAGGAGGAGGTGTGGCCAGCGGTACAGTTCTCTTCTGTAGGCAAACTGTTCTTTGGTTGAGGGCAGTTTTTGAAGAGAGCTTCTGAATGAAAAGCAGCTCTTTTTTTTTTTTTTTTGAAAAGCAGCTCTTGATAACTTAATGACCCATTCTCATTGCACATCTATATTTAAGTATGTATTGCAATGAACTGTATTGGATTGTGTCATGAGAAAAGCGGGCCAGGTTCTACGATGCTATTTGTTCAGGCCTCATTTGAGTGTATGGAGAAATCCCTACACAGACTTGGGCACCCAACTGGCCATGAAGGATAGAGTTTTTCTGTCACCCAACTGGCCATGAAGGATAGAGTTGTGTGTAGAAGATATTAAAACACATGCAAAGGACTAAGACTGATTTGGGCAACTTTCTTTTTTCTTTTTTCTTCTTGCTGCAAGCTTGTTAACCAGGCAGGACTTATCTTTAGAGATGGGCCAACATGTAATGACTAATAAAGAGTACTTTGTGAAATTAGAAATGCTGGCTAGTTGCAGAAAAATATAAGAAGGAGCAGCTGAGAGACTGGTTCTTTCTAAGATTTGGAAGGGTTTGCCTAAGTAAGATTCTGAAATCAATTCATTGATATACCTCACATTTGGGATCCCACAAGGCCTCATTGGCAGTTTGACTGACTAAGGCTACCTGGGTCTGGTCATGGCCCAGGGTCCCTTGAGATTCCTTTTCTTGTGACAGAAGGTTGGCTCTTTGGCTAGTGGACCCTGGCCAGCTGGGACATCCTGGCTGAAAGCTGAGACTTTAGTAAGCAGGGAGCAGAAACACGGAGGCAGAGCTTATACCCTAGAGCCACAGTGGTCCTGCAACTGGCGTGTGGAGTGAAGTTAGGAATTCAAGGAAGTAAGTTCAAGGAAGAGCATCAAGGGTTGCTCTGGGTCCTTGGATAACATCTTTTTCTAAGTGCAGATTTTTTTTTAAGATTTTATTTTTATTTATTTGAGAGAGAGCAAGAGAGCATGAGAGAGGAGAGGGTCAGAGGGAGAAGCAGACTCCCTGCTGAGCTGGGAGCCTGATGCAGGACTTGATCCTGGGACCCCGGGATCATGACCTAAGTTGAAGGCAGTTGCTTAACCAACTGAGCCACCCCCAAATGAGAGTAACCCTCAAGTAGCTCTGTTAAGGATCAGACCTGTTTACAGAAGGGCTGCCCTTGGGGTAGGAATGGTCCTTTCTTGTTTCCCATTCCTGTTTGCCCCCCAAAATATGATTATTTTCTATATACTCATCTGTTTCCCATCAGGTTTCTGAGTAAGTAGAATAGAACACTGTACTTGGGGACAGGGTTAATTTTGTCTGACTCTTGGTTATTCCTTGCGGTTGTAGTTTTAAGGGAAAGGCCCATTCCTTGGTGCAGTATCTCCTGAGAGAGGGCTGCAGGGGTATGGCAGATGGAGCATGGAACTGTGGATACAGTTTTGCCACTTGTTGCTGGATGGACCTAGGCTGTAGGAGGGGCAAGATTGGGAATTTGCAGCAGGAAACCGGAGCAGATATGGAGCCTGTAGTCACTCCGATCTGTTACGGGGTTCTGCAGCTATCGTGTGGTTGCTACCCTTTTGTTTCCTCCTTCCCCCAGCAAACTTTTCTATATTCAACTGGTTGTGGAAGTATTCAAATGATTTGGCCAAATCAGAGTTAAGGAAAGACATGGGGTTTTGTCCCTTTTCCTAATCCACTCAGTTGAGATTCTTAGCTATTTGTAGCAACTTTCTTACAAGTTCTATAAATAATTTAGCATTTCCTAGCAGAGAATAAGGATTTCTATAAAGGCAAGTAATACCCTGGCAAAAGAGGATGAAACCAGACCTACTGGTTTTAAATACTATTTAAATTGCATGGTACTGGCACTCTTGCTGGGATCACATGTAACATGTCTTTTATTTGGTTATTAGTGTTACTTCAGCGTATGATCCCAATTGCAAAGTGCACTCCATCCGTGTCCCAGGGGCAGGCAAAGTTTTTTGCAGTCTGTGGAACAGTCAGATGTCCGAGGCAGCTCAAATGCAGAGTGTTTGTGGGCTAAATGCAGACTTCCTTCCGCTGATGGCTTCCATTTAGGCTGTTTCTCAAGTCTACCAAGTTTCCCTATCCATTCTGAAGAAAAGCAGGACCCCCCTTTTTTTTTCTTCTTCTTTTTTTTAAAGAGCACTAATTGCTCTACTAAAGGAAACCCTTATGGAATTAAATCCTCAGAGTGAGCTAATGACTGAATCTCTTCCTCAGCTGCTTCTCTGTTGGAATTATGGGGGATGTTTAATGTGGTTCTCAGAGGCCCCAAATCATTTACTATTCCAGCTCTACCTTTGAGGTGACAGTCTCCTGGGATCATCTCCTGGATGCAGGTGCTCCCAAGGCTCAGTCTGGCCTGCTGCGGTTCTCTGTGCAGGGCTAGCCTAAGTGTGGCTTTTGTCACTTGCGTGAGAAAAGACCAGCTTTGGTCTGTGGGGTGCAGGCTGGGGTCTGGAGGCATTGGGTTTGTTTAGAACAAACTGTAATTAACATAGGGCACAATATAGTCTTTCAGGAATTAGCTGTGTAAGAGGCAGGAGTGGAGCTGAGCCTCTGCTTCCAGGAACAATGCCCATTGAGGATGCTCAGGATGGTCTTTCAACAGAAGCCAATTGATTGACTAATGCACCTCTTGCCTTGAAGCTTGGCATGTTTACAGGCACCATGGAAGAGAGATAATTCCTGCCAATCCCATTTGGGATTGGTAATTGGAAATAGGAGGAAGTAAAAGGGGTAACCACCTAGTCTGTTTTATTTCTAAAAGAGGTCCTGCATGTTGGAGATCGAAGGGAGCCTCTTGTGCTTATGGAATTAGGCACTTCTAGCTGCCCATCCCTTGTTCTTATCCTGGAGGTGTGGCCTCCTTTTAGTCATCCCAGGTTCCTCCAGGATGGGGTCTTCAGATTTGTAAGGCATGACCTCTTAGCTTCACATTGTCTGCTTTCAGGCTCACACTGACTCCGCTGTGTTTTGTCTTTTGCAGGTTGGGCGGCCCAGACCCCTTGGACTATGTTAGCATGTACAGGAACGTGGGGAGCCCTTCTGCCAACATCCCTGAACACTGGCACTACATCAGCTTCGGCCTGAGTGATCTCTATGGTGACAGCAGAGTCCATGAGTGAGTGTATGGCACTTGCCCATCCTCCACCTGTCTGTTCCTTAGCCTTGAGCCATATTTCTGGGGTTTCCCTGAGCAGGGGTGATAATGTCATAGTTCTGTGTGGTTGGCACTTCTCAGGTAGAACCTCGGGGTTTCTACCCTCTGCTTGTATCTAGTTGCGCCAGAGTGATCCAGGTCAGCACCCGAACTCTGCTCATCTGGTGCAGGACGGTGTTGATGATGAACAAGTGTTCTAAAACCATCAGGTTTTTCCAAGCTGCTCTGCTGTTTGAGCTCAGAGGACAGGCAGAATAGCTATGACCCAGAATTTGAATTGATGCCTCTAAGTATACTTGTTTTTTTCCCTTCTAGCTTGTAGTGAAAAATCTGAAACATAAAGCATAGTTGAAAGAATTTTATAGCCAACACACAAATACCCACTACCTAGATTCTACAATTAACATTTTACTCTACTTACTTTATCATGAGTATATCCATCTCTCTCCCTCTCTTGATCTTACTTACTTCCTTGTAACCTGCAGTTATCTGTGCTCAGCTTATCCATAGTACATTTTTTATTCTAGTCTATCTCCCATTTTCTGCCCTGTATACTTCTAAATCCTACCTGCCTCCCCTATGTGCCCCTATAACCACTGAATTTAGACAATTTTAATATTAAGTTAAACGTCAACTTAGTATTAAGTCAGCTAAAACCATAACAGCAACACTAATAATAATGAAAGGTAACATTTCTTAAGCATTGATTATGAGCCAGGTATTCTTTTAGTCACTTCGCATGTATAAACTAATTTTATTTTCATCACAACCATATAATACTGGTGGATACTCATATTTGCCCCATTTTACAGATGAGGAAACTGAGATACAAAGAGAGTCTATAACTTGCTTAAGGTCACACAGCTTGGAGGTGGTGGAGCCAGGATTCTAATGCAGGCATTCTGGCTGCAGAGTTCATGCTCTTCATGACTGTGCTCTACTGCCTCTTGAACAATTATATCATGTCCTCGAGTAAGTTACTATCTGTAATTAAAAAAAAAAAACACAAATATTTTGTTCCATCTACACTCTTTTTTGAGAGGGGTTCTTTTCTTCAATTTGTTTTATTTTATTATTTTTTTAAGATTTTATTTATTTATTTGTCAGAGAGCACAAGCAGGCGGAGCGGCAGGCAGAGGGAGAAACAGGCTCCCCGCCAAGCAGGGAGCCTGATGTGGGACTCGATCCAGGACCCGAGCCGAAGGCAGACGCTTAACGACTGAGCCACCCAGGCGCCCTCTTTTCTTCAGTTTAAATGTTGTCTTCCTTCCCCCTCATCAGCATGGTTAATCAAAAGCTGATTCTATTTCTGTTATCATATCCTTTCCTGCTTTTTGCTTTTTGTCCTTTTTTGCCTCTTACACTATCTTTTTGGTATCTTGGTGATGACTACTTAGCATGTGTAGGTTGAAAGACTAGCAGGGCTCTTCTTGCCCTGCCTCAGCAGAAGAGGCTGATTCTGGGGATGTTGATGGTATCATGATGAAGATGATAATCATCAGGGGTTTTTTTGTTTGTTTGTTTTTTGCTTTGTTTTAGTTCTTAGTATCTTCCTTATCATCACATCAAATACTTTACAATCTTACCAGGTTCTTTTGTTATTTCCATTTTATAGGTGAGAAAATTAAATCACTTGAGGGGTAAATGAATTGGCTAAAGGAAAAGAACTAGGATTCAATTGAACTGTCTTGAGTCCAAAGTCTGAGCTTTTAACCACTAGAGTGTTCTACTTCTCTGATCACAGGTCCAACCCAACTTCCTCTTCTCTCTCATTAAGCTGGGGGCCCAGGCCTCATCTCCTTACTGATCACATGTCGAGAGCAATGCCTGGGCCTGCCTTTACAGCCTTCCAAACAGATCCATTGCAATGTCAGCAGAAGGCTTTGGGAACAGTGAATTAATCTTGCCTGAATGGGGACCGTGCAGTACAGTATTAATAATGGAGATAGAATAGCAAACAGATGTGGGCAGTAAAGGCACTGTGCTGGACTTTACTGTATATTTTTAATAAAAACCTGCAGAGGGTATTTAGTGCAGTTAGCCTGTACCTTTTTGTTGACAGACTTATTCCAGTCAGAAGAATACCATTTCCTATGTGGCTTAAAGATTCTTACAGTATACCTGCTTGTCAGTGATGGGTCCAAAGCCCAAAGTGACATGAAGAACATAATTGAGAAAGCCCCATATTTCAGAGGGGGCAACCTCTGAATTTTAAAGAGGGCCTTCCTTACTGTTTTTCCACTTTTGAAAGTACCCCCTTATATGTGTGTCATTTCTGTATGATAAAGCACTGTGATATTCATATATCATTTATGACAATAGTAAGACCTCGATTTGGGCTGTATATCACCGCTGGAATCTAGTGTTTTCTGGTATTATGTCCTACCACTAGAAGGACATGGAGGGAATGTTCTTAGATATTTACCCAGTTTGGTCTATGTTGCAGAAGTCAAAAGTACATTTGTAATCGGCCCTTGTGCTGGTGTGACCGGTCTCTTTTCAGTCCTGGTAAGTTTCTTGAAGAAAAGTTTGCTTTTCCAAACATTTCATGTGGCAAGGCCTCTTTGAAACAGATTTAAAGATTCTTATTTAATTTAGTGCTTAAAGCTGAGGTCAAAAAGGTGAGTGTTCTACCATCCAGTTTATTTATTTATTTATTTTTTAAAAGATTTTATTTGTCAGAGAGAGAGAGAGCGCACCCGCGCACACAAGCAGGGGAAGTGGCAGGCAGAGGGAGAAGCAGGCTCCCTGCTGAGCACGGATCCTGATGTGGGACTCGATCCCAGCACCCTGGGATCATGACCTGAGCTGAAGACAGATGCTTAACTGACTGGGCCACCCAGGCGTCCCTACCATCCAGTTTAAATGCTAAGAAGTGTTGAACTGGAATTACGCAAATGAATCTCTCTAGTAATGCTCTTCTTCCACCGTCTTTTGTCTTTCTATTCAGTGAAAAAAGGGCCCAAGCATTGGTTCATTTATTCAGCATACGTTCCTCAAGCACCTATTTTGTTCCAGACACAGAACATCTTAATAGATGTTTTAGGTATAAAATGCCAAGACATAATTCCTATCTGCAAGGAGCTCATGTCCTAGAGGGGAGATAAACATAAAGAGAGGGTTATAGTACTGGGTAATAAATGCTACAATCCGTGGATGAAGAACATGATCTGGGAGCAGAATGGAGGGTATGACTTTTAGTCAGGCTGCTGAATTGGAAGAAGCTCTGGGGAGGAAGTGAAGTTTGAGAGGCACCTGCAAGCTGCAGGCCAGTAGGAAGGCAGGGGGCAGGGGAGGATCATAGCCTGACACTCTAGGGACCAGCACTTACTTTCAGGTTTGAGGGGACTTTAATAATCTTCTGGCCTAGTGTTTCCCAAAACTTCTAGTGCTGCCTTAATAATTTTTGCCATGTAGTAGATCATCTATTTTATGTTCTTTTCCAACTAACTCCCCTTTTGGGGCGCCTGGCTGGCTCATTCGGAAGAACATGGGACTTTTGATCATGGGGTCATGAGTTCAAGCTTCACATTGGGCGTAGAGCTCACTAAAAATCAATTAATTAATTAACCCCCCCTTTTAAAGGTGATATAAATATATTTTTATTAAAAAATTTTTTTAAAGATTTTTATTTACTTATTTGACACAAGGAGAGAGAGAGCACAAGCAGGAAGTAGCAGAGGGAGAGGAAGAAGCAGGCTCCCCACTGAGCAGGGAGCCTGACGTGGGGCTCGATCCCAGGACCCTGGGATCATGACCCGAGCCGAAGGCAGCTGCTTAACCGACTGAGCCACCCAGGCACCCCTATTTATTTATATTTTTTAAATTAATTTTTAAAAGTTAAGTCACCACCATGTATGGAAACCAGTATCACTTGCCCTAATTTAAAGGTAACTATGGAAATAAATGCAGCGATAACAAAGCAATGTTATTAAATTCTAGCTTAAGGCCAGCTTTCTCTTTGTTCAAGACATTAGCAAGTATGAGAGAGGTGTTGAAAAGATATGCTAACACCAAATAGAACCTGACCCTAGACATGATTAGAAAAATTGAAAGCAAATTATAAAGGGAACTTTTTTAATTTTAATTTTATTTTTTATTTTTTTTAAAGATTTTATTTATTTA